GGGAGGGGGAGGGGGAGAAGGGGGGAGACCCTGAGCCACAGTCCTGGCAGCTGGGCCATGTCTGGTCTTATTAGCCCCTGTGTCAGGGCCTCCTCTGGGTAGATTGAGGGTGGGTCCGAGCCTACGTGAGGCCATAGGATGGGGGTGGGGTTTGGTTGCTCCTCTCCTGGCTTCTTTCCTGGGGCTGCAGGCCACGCCAGATGTCCCTGCAGGGGGAGTGAGGGGGGATGGTGGCCCCTGAATCATGCGAGCGCTGTTTCCTGGGTCCCCATGAACCAGATAAAGAGCATCAGGGTTAAGTGTTGGGGTTTTTCTTTCTTTTTTTTTTTGTTTTTGTTAATAGACTTTTATTGATTTCAGAGGGGAAGGGAGAGGGAGAGAGGGATAGAAGCATCAATGATGAGAGAGAATGATTGCTTGGTTGCCTCCTGCACACCCCCCACTGGGGATCGAGCCCGGAACCCGGGCATGTGCCCTTGACCAGGAACCCAACCTGGGAGCCTTCAGTCTGCAGGCCGATGCTCTAACCACTGAGCAACCCGGCTAGGGCAAGTGTTGGGGTTTTTCTATCAAGAGGGGAAAACACACATTTTTAATCTTTTGGAGCCTGGGAGGTCAGTCAATGAAGCTTGGGCCTCAGGGTCTGACAGCTCCTGGCCCATGTTTGACCTTCGGCCTCATTATGGAGGTGAGGAGGGCGGGGCCTGGGGAGGCTGGGCTGTCCCTTCACAGTCAGAGGCCCAGCATGGCCGGGCACATGCAGAGAGCTGGCCTGCTTGCTTACCCGGCAGCCGCAGAATGGCCCTGGGTGGGCCCAGCTGACATCGCCCGCCTTGGCTCTCATGTCCTCCCTCCTGGTCCAGGTGTGAAAAGTCCACTCCCAGGCCCAGGGATGGCTGCGGGGGTGGGGTGGACTTCTGCAGTCCTTTGTGTCTGTCCCTGAGCATCCTGGGCAGGGGGCAAGAGGTTGTCCTCAGACAGACGAGGGACACGTGAAGTTTGCTGGGGCCCTGTCGGGGGAGCAGGTTAATTGATGCCCTTCACCTCACAGGCATGGGCCCTGGGCCGAGGCCAATGTGTTTGACATCCTGGGTGCAGGAGTGTGTGTGTGTGGGGGCGGGGGGCGGGGGCTCACCACGCAGACAGCCCTGGGTGGGAGACAGGTGGGCCCACTAATTACTGTGCTGGGCGCCGAGGTAACCATGGGTGTGTGCCTGAGTTGGAATTACCCACCTAGCCTCCTGTGCTTCTGGCCTAGGGTCTGCCCTAGACGGGTGGCACCTGGGCGAGGCAGGAGGCGTCTACAGAGGCTGAGCAGCCCCCCAGAGGGACCTTTGCAGCCCCCCCTTTTTTTTTGTTAATCCTCACCCGAGGCTATTTTTCCATTGATTTTAGAGAGAGTGGAAGAGAGAGGGAAAGACAGAGAGAAACATCGATGTGAGAGAAACACATGGATTGGTTGCCTCTTGCTTGTGCCCTGACCAGGGCCCCGGCCAGGGAGGAGCCTGCAACCTAGTACATGCCCTTGACTGGAATCGAACCCGGGACCCTTTGGTCCACAGGCCAATGCTCTATCCACTGAGCCAAACTGGCTAGGGCTGCAGCCTCAAGAATGCATGTTTGAGTCCCTAAGGGGACAGGCACGTGGGTTTGAGGATAGTCCAGACCTGGGTTCCGACCTCTGCTCAGCCACTGGCGGCTCTGATCCTGGGTGCGTGTCACACTTGGAGCCCCACTTTGAACCCCATTCTCCCTGCGTGAGCCTGGGGTGCGGCGGTAGGGTGGCCTGAACCTGGGTTCCCTGCTGGGAGCCAGGAGAATGGCTCACCCCTTGACCACTGCGCTGGGGTGATGGTGAAGGCGATGGGGCCCCGGCCAGGGGCGGTTGGGCAGGTGGCTGGGGCAGGACCAGCAGTTGGAAAGGGCAGAGGGTCCATGAGAAATCAGAACGGCCTTCACTCACGTCCCACCAGAAAACTCGTGCCGTATGGGGTTCTAGAAGACTCCACACGGATTTGCTTATGGGTGTGCTTATTGCTTTGTGGGCAGCCCACTGCCATCTGAGGTGCCCCTTCTCCCAAAGCCGTCCTGGGGGAGCCAGGGGCGGGCTGGGTGCAGTGGTCCTCCTGATAGGACCCTCCAGCTGTCAATCACGGCAGCCTCAGGCGTACAGGCCTGGGTGCTGTGCTTGCTTCCTCACCGCGCACCCTTTTCCGGTACCTCCTCTTGGGCCTCGTTGTCCCCTGTGGTCTCTGCTCTGGGTCCTTGGTAGAGGCCACACCGTCTGTCTTCTTATTCTCTCGTCCTCTGGGTCCCGCCTGCGAGGGTGGCCACCCGACTGCCGTCTCCCTTCCTGCAGGGTGCGCCATGCCGCTGGGCATGGAGACGGGGGCCATCTCCGACCGGCAGATCTCCGCCTCGTCCGTGCACTTGGGCTTCATGGCTTTGCAGCGCTGGGCCCCGGAGCTGGCCCGCCTGCACCGCTCGGGCATTGTCAATGCCTGGACAGCCAGCAACTACGATAGGAAGCCCTGGATCCAGGTATGGAAGCGGGGGGCTGGAGGGGGGCATGATGGGAGGAGAAAAAGTGAGATGAGTGTGCCTGCATTTGGGGGTCACCGTGGGAGGGTTCATCAGGGGGTCCAGGTATCAAGGTAGCAGGTTCCTCCAGATCAGTGGTCGGCAAACTGCGGCTCGCGAGCCACATGCGGCTCTTTGGCCCCTTGAGTGTGGCTCTTCCACAAAATACCGACTTCTTTGGCCCCTTGAGTTTGGCTCTTCCACAAAATACCACATGCGGGCGCACACGTACAGTGCGATTGAAACTTCGTGGCCCATGCGCAGAAGTCGGTATTTTGTGGAAGAGCCACACTCAAGGGGCCAAAGAGCCGCATGTGGCTCGCGAGCCGCAGTTTGCCGACCACTGCTCCAGATGAAGTGTCTGTAAGTGGAGAGCAGCCTGGGGGGGCTTGGAGTAGGTGGGCGGGGTGAGGGGGAGCCGAGCCCAGGCTGTGGAGGGGCTGTTTGCACTGGATGAGGTCTCTGGGGGCTTTGTCCATCCTTCTGGGCTTCCCAGAGCACTGGGTCCACAGACCTGAGAGGGTGGGACGAGAGAGACTCCATCCACCACTTATCCTGCTTGCACTGCCCCTGCTCTGGGTGGGGGGAGAGGAGGAGGTAGAAGGCACACGGGAGTTGTAAGTGTCCCGTCCTGCCCACCCTGGATCCAGGTGAACCTGCTGCGGAGGATGCAGGTGACGGGCGTGGTGACGCAGGGCGCCAGCCGCGCAGGCAGAGCCGAGTACGTGAAGGTGTTCAAGGTGGCGTACAGCCTCGACGGGAAAAAGTTCAAGTTCATCCAGGACGACGAGAACTCAGGAGACAAGGTGAGGCCGCCTGGGCCGGAAGGAAGGGCTGTGGTCAGCAGCCTGGGGCTCCAGCGTTGTTCGAGGGCCTACCACTGAGGCGAGGGTAGCCTGGGTGATTGGCCATGAGGGGAGCGGGGTCTTCAAGTGCATCTTTGCTCCCAGAAATTGGGAAACCCAGATTATTGCCATGTTTTGTGGTTACAAGTAAATCGCCTCACTTTATTTATTATTATTATTATTTTTTTTTCTTATCCTTTGGATATATACCCAGAAGTGGGATTGATGGAGCGTATGATAGTTCTATTTCTAATTTTTTTTAAAGGTTTTTATCTTTTCTTTGTTATTTTGTTGTTGTTGTTAATTCTCACTCAAGGATATTTGTCCATTGATATTTTTTTTAAAATATATTTTATTGATTTTTTTTACAGAGA